TATTTTAGATAAATTTTTTATTTTAAAACTCTCTATTTTAGATCTTGAGTTTGAAATTTTAGATCTGAAATACAAAATTCCACATCTGAAATAACCTTGAAAATAAAACTTCAGATCTGAAATTAGATCTGATAAACCCTTTGTTTAATTATAATTTATGCGTTTCCAGCAAAAAATTGAGTTTTTATTTTTTGATGTTTCAGCAACACACAATTATGTTTAGATTAACTAGCGGTAAAAAAGACTTCCCAATAACTTCACAAAAAGTTTTCTTTCGAAATAAATTTCTAAGACTTCCCAATAATTTCACAAAAAGTTTTCTTTCGAAATAAGTTTCTTGTTCAACTGTGCTAAAAAGTTTTCGAAAACTGCCAGATGACTCATCAAGTTTTTGATTTTCAGGCGCTACTTATGCGTTTCTAATGTTAATCTCATGCTTGGGGAAATGTTTTTTGGCAGTCCCCCTTTTGAGACTTTGATGACTACCTGCTAGTAGCTAGCAGAAGCTATCAAATACTAAAGTCTCAAAAATAGCAAAAATTGTATTAGACTCAATGTAATTTTAGATCTGTATCAATGTAATTTTAAGTAACCAAGAAAAACTAATTTAGATCTCAAAAAAAATGTTCAGATCTGAAATAACCAAGAAAAACAAAATTTCAGATCTGAAAATAGATCTGAAATAATCCATTTCTAAAGTATCCAAGCGTTATTTTAACATTTCACGACCCATTTTAGATTTGAACTTTCACTAATGATAGAGAGTAGAACATTTACTAGGTACGGGTCGAAATTCCAAAATTGGAAATTGCCCTTTTTTTACTCCATCCAAGAAACACATACACTCGTCTCTTCCAATTGATTTCATCTTTCACTCATCTGTCTGATTTCGAGTGAGCTAATACAACAAAGTTGAGTGTCTTCTCTACGTACATGTTCAAGCAAAGGGTACTGGTGCAAACACAGTAGTTAGCCGTATTTGAAGCGACCTTTCGATTATGTTTTAAATACGTTGCCCTGTCACTATAACGAGGAGATGACTATTTGACCTTAGTATCCGCACGGAGACGATAGAGTAGATAACCATAACACCAGGAGGTGACAGAGTTGATTTTGACAAGTTCATATCTGACAACAATTTTGAGCATACGGGTGATACTGGTGGTTAACACCTGAAACCACTGAAGTTTACTTGTTGGAACTGAAGTATACTTTTTTCTACGATGAATTAAACTTCTCTATTTGTGTTTAAAACAGAGCAGCGTTCAAAAGAAGATACCAAATGAATTTAGGTTCGCTCAACAAAAAGGGATTCGATAAAATAGAACTAAAACAGAGATTGAATTTCTGAGCAAAAAAGCATCCGCCCTACCCCCACCTTCTTTTTCGTTCACAATTGATTCGACGCACACTCGACTCGAGGGGCGAAAGAAGAAGTCACAATACAACCACCCGCCCAGAATCTTTTGCATAAAATTTTGTTTGAAAAGGGTCTGATTGAGCTCAATTTGTAGTTCCAATGGTACCCATTTATCAAAAAAAATTGACCAACAGGGCAAAAGGCTCAATTATGAGCCCAACACTTAGAATAATTGCCCGGTTCAAGCTTTCCATGGCAAATCAGAGATAAAAAAATGGGCTCAATTAACCCTTTTTGAACAAAAACAATTTACTCGAGGGACTCAAACCAATTGACTGAGTACCTAAGACCTCTTTGCTACCTCGTTTCTAACAAAATTTGATGTCTCTTTTAACAAAAGTTGGGTGACTGAATGAGGCTGAACTGCTGAAAATTGAGCTCGCTTTGGTTCGTTCGCTAAAAATTTGGCTTTATCAGCTTCTTTTTGAAGAATGGGGCTCATTGAAATCTAAATTGAGAATTTGGGGATCAACAATTGGGCCCAGTTTGCTAAATCATCGGCTTATTCAACCTCTTTGCTAAAATCTGGGTTTATTCCGCGCCCTCCATAAAAAAAATGAGAATCATTTTTGACCCGGGTATCCGCTACTGTATCACACTGTTCGAATCAAGAGGAAAGGACACATATGACACTTTTGCGGTAAACTCATCAAAAAAGGGAGCGTCATTTTCAAATAGACCAAAACTACCGTTGTTAGCAACAGAGTTTGAACTACCAACTAAACTTCATGTCTCGCTGAAGCACTGAAATCTGATATTATATTAAACAAGACTGCTAGTATCAGGGCGAAGCCCTGAATGTTCCGACAGCCTTTTAAGGTTTATGGAGCAGTAATAACATTGAAAAATCCAATGAAATAAAACAAAAAAAATATTATTTTTTTCAAAAATGTGAAATTTTTTAATGAAAATCATCCCCCCACACGCCTTATAACGTACAAAAGGATAGATTTCGCTCCTTTTTAACAAACCCAATATGGCAAATAAGCTCCTTTTAAGCAATTTGGAACGATTTCTAAGACGGATTAAATCTCCGCTTACGCGTTAAAAGCGCGAATTATATCGCGCGTTAATTGTCCCAAATTGGTCAAAATGGCCAAAATGGCAATCTTTAAACCCTCATAACTTTACGAAAAATGATCACAGGTGAAATATTTTTTCAAATTTAAGCTCAATACAACAATAACTTTAGAAGGATATAAGAAAATTCCGTCAAAAATGGCTAATTAAAAAGTCGAATGTTGTCTGAAGAAAAAAAAACCCACCCCGAGCACAAATATTCCGTTACTTTCGTATCGAAAGTCGGAACAATAACAAAACAAGACTGCTCGCATGAGGTCGAAGCCCTGAATTTTCCGACTGCGTTTTAAGGTCTATGAAGCTGTAATAACATGACAAAATTAAATTTAAAAAAAAAACATTTTTTGAGTTTTTTTTTGTGAAAAGCATGCCCCCACACGCCATATAAAGTACAAGGTGATAGATCTCGCTCCTAGTAACAAATCAATTATGGCAAAAAGCTTCATTCAACCAATTCGGAACAATTAAATCTCCGCTAACGCATTAATAACTCCATCTTTACAAAAAATGATCACAGGCGAATATTATCTTTTCAAATTTAAGGTCAAAACAGCAATACCTTTCGAATGATATTTAAAAATTTATCAGTCAAAAATGGCGAGTGAAAAATTCGAAATTTATCTGAAGAAAAAAAAATCACCCCGAGCGCAAATATTCTGTTACTTTTGTTACAAAAGTCGGAACAAAAAAACCAGAATTGAGAAATTAGATTATATAAATCAGTATAGCCAACAAATTCAGCAAATAGGGAAAATGAACCAACGTAAATACGACTGCTTGTATCGGGGTGAAGCCCTGAACGTTCCCATTGCCTTTTAAGGTCTATGGAGCAGTAATAAAATGAAAAAGTTTATTGTAATAAAATAAAACAAAGTTTTTTTTTAATTTCAGATTTTTTTGAAAATCATAACCCACGCGCCAAATAAAGTACAAATTGATAAATTTCGCTCCTAAAAACAAATCAATTACGGCAATGAAGATAAGTTTTTAAATATAAGCTCAGTACAACAATAACTTATGAATTACTTTGAAAAAAATTCCGTCAAAATGGCTTGTTATAAATTTTGTCTGAAGAAGTGGCTTGGATGAAGTTTTGACTCAAAGCTGCTATCTCTCCATATATTTCAACCAGCTCAAATTTAACAAAACTGATACAAAATTGTTCATTTTAGCAAATTTTCCAATCTTAAAACTATATGTTAAACCCGTAATGAGTCAAATGAACAAAAAAAAGACAACTCGCAAAAAAAAGACAACTCGCATTAAACTACAACTCGCAATATTATCACCGAGCAGTCGCGCCAGAGTGTTGCAAGCTTGCCAATAGAGGGTAGGACTTTATACGAAACCTACCGCTAATTATCGCCTTCCCGGGTTGACGTCCATAGAAGAAAAATGCTTATCATACAGTTTCATAAACGAAGTCTAGGGAAAAAAAGCTTATCATACAATTATCATGTATGAAATTTATAAAAAATTCATTTCGCCATAGAAAATTTTCAAAAATCACCAAAAACGTGCCTGGGTAAGTCTAATTAGAAATAAATTAGTATATCTATCATAGAGGACATATTGACAATCAAAACATAAATTTAATTTCGGTCAGAAAAATGCTTATGATAAAGTTTTCATTTATGAAAATTGTATGATATGCATTTTTTTCATAAACAAAAATAAAAATTTGAGGTAAGAACTTTTTAATCTATTTTTTGGCTGCAAATTTGCATTAGTGCTAAAATATATATTTTACGAAAAAAAATGTGCTTGCAAAATTTGACATTTTTGTTTTTATAACGTAGTCCAGGATGAGTTTCTCACCCAAAAAACCCAAAAATTACGTGAAAATGTTTTTTTTTTGTAAACACGAACATTATCTTTAGTTTCATTTGCTAAGATAAAAATAAATTTGTAAAAAAACAGGCCTTTTTTCTCAACCATCAAAATTTTCAAGCTAAAAATTATCTAGCCATATTCAAAAAGTTACTTTTTTGGTATATATTTCTATGTGAAAATGTAAGTACTTAACTTGTAAGGCTAAAACCACCAAATGCAGTTTATCTGCGTGGTAACTGCCAGTTACACTCTGGGTACCTCTGGGTAACTGTCAGTTACACTTTGCTATTTTAATGCATACACTTTTACTCTATGAAAGGGTATGAAAGAGTATGATAAGCATTTTTTCCATATGAAAATTGTATGATAAGCATCTTTTGTCAACCCGGGTTTCTTAAACTTTGCGAGTTGTCTTTTGTTGCGAGTTGTTGCGATACTTGTCAAACCATACCCAAAAAGTCCAAAGCCACGTTTCCAAGGACACGTAGGATGTGGCATCCTATCATGCATGAGCAATGGCTATGAATACATCTAATTATTCAGCCATGATAATCAAAATCTCAAAAACAGAGCCTTATAATATCGGCCGTTAAGCTTCATCCCTCTTTCAGCAGAGGAGACCGAACTTTGATATTTCTTTAATTTCAGGTGTTTACTTGTAGTGAAACCAGCTCAATAAATCAACAATTATGAACTTAAAGAATTCTACTCTGATATTTTATTGTATTTTGATTTGCTCATTCATACTAAACTATGAATTTAAACTCATAAAACATCAGTTTGGGCTAGCCGAATATAACAGCTCAATTCACACTTCGAGCCTTATCGTTAATGGATTTCCGACTTTCAATCGGCGCTTTTTGGTCCGGATCCGATATCTGCATGCCCATTCTAATTTTTGTGTCGGCACTATTATAGATCGATTTTGGATTGTTACTTCTGGAATGTGTATGCGATACGGAAAAGGTAATTTATCCAAATGTAGATTTACTAATCAAAACAAAAACATTAATGCTTGGTCAAATCTGTGCTATGTATAAGTGAAAACTGGGTAATGTTGAGCAGAGAATCCGCGATTCATTATGTGTTTATTGTTCCGACTTTCGATACGAAAGTAACGGAATATTTGTGCTCGGGGTGGGTTTTTTTCTTCAGACAGATTTCGACTTTTTAACTAGCCATTATTGACGGAATTTTTAAATATCATTCAAAAGGTATTGTTGTCTTGAGCTCAAATTTGAAAAGATATTTCACCTGTGATCATTTTTCGTAAAGTTACGGGGGTTTAAAGATTGCCATTTTGGCCAATTTGGGACAATTAACGCGCAATATATTTCGCGTTATTAAAGCGCAAGCGGAGAGTTAATCCATCTTAGAAATCGTTCCAAATTGGTTAAAAGAAGCCTATTTGCCATAATTGATTTGTTACAAGGAGCGAAATCTATCCTTTTGTACTTTATATGGCGTGTGGGGGAATGATTTTTATTTTCAAAAAATTCAAATTTTAGGAAAAAAATTTTCATTGTTTTATTTCATTGAATTTTTTAATGCTATTACCGCTCCATAAACCTTAAAAGGCAGTCGGAACATTCAGGGCTTTGCCCTGATACGAGCAGTCTTGTTGTCATCTATCTTCAATTTAAAGTGTAAAACAAGACTGCTCGTATCAGGGCGAAGCCCTGAATATTCCGACTGCCTTTCAAGAGTCCATGGAGCAGTAACAACAAAAAAATTCGTAATTAGTATATGTAATAAAATGAATTTTTTTTAAATTGGAGATTTTTTGTAAAATTCAACCCCACACGCCATATAAAGTACAAAAGGATAGATTTCGCTCCTTGCAACAAATCCATTATGGCAAACAAGCTTCTTTCAACCAATTTGGAACGATTTCTAAAACAGATTAAATCTCCGCTTACGCGTCAATAGCGCGAAATATATCGCGCGTTAATTGTCACAAAATGGCAAAATTGGCAACCTTTAAGCCCCCATAACTTTGATTACATTAAAAAATAATCACAGGTGAAATATCTTTTTCCAAATTTAAGCTCAGAACAACAATATCTTTCGAATGATATAAAAAAAATTTCCATTAAAAATGGCTTGTTAAAAAGTCGAAATTTGTCTGAAGAAAAAACCCACCCCGAGCACAAAGATTCCGTTACTCTCGTTACGAAAGTCGGAATAAAAAACTTAAATTTTTGCCATTTTTCTAATTTGTTGGAACGCTTTTTTACACTGGATAACATGAAATGAGCGTGATTTCAGGTGTCAGCTTCTTAGTTGAGGTTGGGGACTACACAAGACCTATCAGACGAATCGAGCCTATCTTATCAACTGAAGTATTCTACACTGAACCGTAAGGGTTACAGGTTTCGGATCTACGAAGCAACTCCCCCTATCAAGAAAGGGGATTGTTAAGTAGATTAAGTTAATCGAACTTTCGACCAATCATGCAGCAAAGTTCGAACTCTCAACACCAGTTTTATTGCTAGTTTACTATATTTATGTATATGGGAGTGGAGAGTTTTTACTAGATACCATAGGGGAGAGGTTGTTAAGTAGATCCTTTGACCGTCCGCTGAAAACTTTCAATCGACTTCATAGCGATCTTCAAAGAGCCCTTTTGATCAACTTTAACCATACCACCAATACCGTCATCGGGCAACCGATGAGACTAAAGTTTATTCAATTATCATGTCTTTTTGGTAATTGGGTAATTAGCAATCTTGAATTGAGGGTGAAAATGTAACTCCATACAAACAATATACACTTTGTACATGTAATGAACCTTCTGGTCCAATTAAGGACAAAACTGACTGCTGGAGAGACGCGAATATCAAATCTAGTGGTGAATCCGTATAACAGTCGTTCACTCATGTCACATATGATGTTCAGAGGAATAGGCCCTATAACTATTGCCTCAATCTCGCGGTCGGAGCCAACTCACGATTCGCTTATGATATGGAACTGAAGGTTTCGTTACATTAAAAGGCTACTACCAAAATAACCACCCACTCTAGATTGAAATTAGTACGTTCCCATGGCTAGGTCTTTAAATACCTAAAACACGCAAACACCGTTAAAAACAGGGTCGGAGCCTCAATTAAACCAATTCAGGGATCCAATTCAGGGATCCAATTCAGGGATCCAATGGACATTTGATCCAATTCAGATGGTTCAACCTAAAACTCGCCTCACCTCAGCATAACTGTATAAAGTGCACTCTAGTAATTAAATTCAAGTACTCAGATCAAGACAACCACTCTGGAACTAATTACAGACACTATCGAATCATGTAACTATAACTCTAGAAGTTTGAGTAAAACAATAATTTCCGCCCAAGAAATTTTCAATGAATTTTGGAGCAATGGGTCACTTGAGTGGGCCACCTTCCAAATCAATTTTTCTCTTGCTCCAAGTGTGGACCTCTTGATGCTGTCTATCAGGAACAAGACAAGTCTACTCATGTTGATTGTTTTTTTGACAAATTGCGAATAGTAATGATTTCTCTTTAGTTATCATGAGAAACTTGAGCATGGCGCGGCCAATTCGAAATTTTGAAAAATACCATTCGAACCAAAAGTGACTAGAATTTCTTTCACATGACCGACTGGCCGACCGGCAGCAGTATAAGGTTATCATATTTAACAATTTAACCAATGCCAAATTACCTTTATACCAAATTAGGACTAAGTGAACAATTTTCCCCTAAATCAAATTAGGGAGGAGATCGCTCACTTGGTTAAAAGCAATACTTTTCAGGCAATCAGATTCGAGTATAGTACATACGGTCCTTACTGCTTGCAAATGCCATTCAAATTTAGGGGGATGTTGTTGGTGGTAACCCTCATGCTTGAGGGATCGAATGCTTGAAATTAATTTTAGCATACTTTCAGCCAATCAGAACTGAGTATTCAAAATCTCAAAGTAAATCGCGAAAATCTTGAAGAAAGAAAAAAATCCAGGCCATTAGTGTTAATATTGACCGATTAGATAATAAGCAGATAAGTTTTCAAGGCTGAAAAACTCCTATGAACTTGAACGCATATATCTTGACGTTTATCTGAATAGTACTGCGGTTGTAACCCGCAATTTGTAATATTTTTGAATTTTTCCACTGATTTAATACATTTTCTGTTAATATTGACTTCGATTTAGTGAGAACGGCATTTAGCCAATAGGAACGCTTAGCGATTTTGATTGGTTGAAATTTTTCAAGCAACCGGTCCCCAAGCATGAGAACCTTCCCCGATGTTGTTCACTTAGGGGGTAGTGTTTTTTACATGGGCCCCAAATTTACACCACAACTAAGCTTTACCCTTCTGAGTGTTAGTTTGCATATAAATTCTACCATGTAGTCTCATAATTTGTCGGGTTAAGAATCTGATCCTTTTGTGTTCCAGCTGGGACACGGCTGAGAGTCCCCACGATGTGGTTGCAGTTGTCAGAGTAGCCAGACCAATTCAAGGTATATCATGCACACAACACAGTCTCTCCATACCCCCCCTCACCCTCCCCCCAGCAAATCATAGTCCTCCATATTACGAAAATACTACTGAAATGAGGCTCTAATTTTTTATTTATTTCTAGGCTAGAGGGAGCATAATGGGAAATAGTTACAAACTCCCCTGAAACCAAACGGCAAATTTTTACTCCCAATTCAATTTTTCGAACTTCTACCCCATAACTTACAACAAAAATTTTGCGCTGAGTAAAATTTCGCTTTCTGTGTCAAAACAGTTTCATAGTTATTGACTTGAATTCCAAATGTTTCTCAACACAGATTGCCATACCGCGATGACTCACCGAATTGTCTATTCACGCGAGCGCTCATTGGCTCTCTCATTTTTGAACAAAATTTTACAAATCATAGTGCTTTAAGCTACCATATTTGGTAATCTGGCCAAATATGGTCATAATATAGTTCTTTTGTCTGACTGTTGAAAAATTATTTGATTCGTCGTCAAAATGCAATAAAACAACCTCAAGATATTCGATGAACTCTCACATACGTTTTATGTTTCAAACTGTACATCGATAAAACCTTCAAAAATGTAAAAACAAAGCTTGTAAAGCGTCTAAAACTAACATGATTGACATTACAAAGTCATGCAATTTTTGATGGTCACACTAATGGGGCATAAGGCTTCATACTTACCTGGCGCCGACCGTCCTCTGATCAAGCAGAGAGGTGGTCCAGGGCGAGGCCTCTGCATTGCACTGCGCGGAGGTTGACCCCTGCGATTTCTCCAAGTGAGAAACTCGGACGCACAATTTATTAGTGTGGGGACTGCGTACGCGCTCTCCCTGATAATCATGAAACTTGTAAACTTAATTTTGAAAGCACAGAAAGAGCGCTAATTTCGCATCCACTGAAAATACAACATTGATAGTTTTGGAAGACATTTTTTTTTTCATTGTGATGACATTCTTCAGATATATCGAGATATCTGAAGATCTGCCAGAAACCTGGATCCCAAGGAGACACCATTGGCACCTGTGGATTGGGCCAAACATCCAGATCCGAAGCCAAGCACTCGAGGACTCTGATGGAAGCCTACTTTTCTGTCAGCTACCTACCAGATGGTTTTGTTCCGGTCGTGGATCAGCTGAGTTTCTGTCGGGAAAAAGACATTTGTACTCGTGAAATTACACCAGGTAAAGTTTGGCGATGAACTGAATTCTTTGTTGATTCTCTTGTCCATATTTTAAGTATTAATGCATACAATTGAGAGAGTCTAAAACCAGAAATACCAAACTGACACAATGCTATCCGTGGGATTACAGATTGCGATGTTGCTGAAAATAACAGAGTTGATTCAGCCCACCCTAACAAAATAGTTGATTGGTTTCAGAATGGGCGGGCTTGTAGTAAGCACTACAATGTATAAAACTGAGTTAAAAAAGATATTGTTAAGACCATTTAACCATGAGGGGGAAAGGACCAACATATGAGCTGTACAGCTCATTCCAGCGAACCGCTGTTGTGTCCCTGCTTAAGAACTACGTGCAATTTTTTTTGTTTTTTTTTCGCAGCCTTGAACTTAAGCCAGCTATGATTTCTTATTTCACAGTGAGAATTTGACTCAATTCTGAGAACATTGTGTTATTTTTGATACAAAAATATCGCTAAGAAACTAAATCTAGCTTGCTTGCTAAGAAACGAAATCTAGCTCGCAAAGCTGACTATTTCAGCGACTTAAGCTATTAAACAGTTCAATTAAACAATTAAATTTACAGTATTAACCCCCCGTAGACCTCGAAGGAAGTCAGAAAATATAAGAGTTTGCCCTATAACGAGCAGTCTTGCCTTTTTTGTGTCCAAATATTTTTTATGCTGGAAGTAAAAAAAATACTATAAAATTGCCATTTTGACGGAACTTTTTTTTTGTAAAATTCGAAAGGTATTGCTGTCATGAGCTTCAATTTGAAAGAATATTTCACCTGTGATCATTTTTCGTAAAGTTATAAGGGTTCAAAGATTGCCATTTTGGCCACTTTGGGTCAATTAACGCGCAATATATTTCGCGCAAATTAACGCGTAAGCAGAGATTTAATCAGTCTTAGAAATCGTTTCAAATTGGTTGAAAGAAGTTTATTTGCCATAACTGATTTCTTACAAGGAGCAAAATCTATCCTTTTGTACTTTATATGGCGTGTGGGGGATGATTTTCATAAAAAAAGTGTTCATTTTTTTTTATTGTTAAACTTTCGATACGAAAGTAACGGAATATTTGTGCTCGGGGTGGGTTTTTTTTTCTTCAGACAAATTTCGACTTTTTAACTAGCCGTTTTTGACAGAATTTTTTACATCATTCGAAAGCTATTGTTGTCTTGAGCTTAAATTTGAAAAGAGATTGCACCTGTGATCATTTTTTGTAAAGTTATGAGGGTTTAAAGATTGCCATTTTGGCCAATTTGGGTCAATTAACCCGTGATATATCAGTTTGGGTTAGCCGAGTATAACAGCTCAATTCACACTTCGAGCCTTATCTTTAATGGATTTCCGACTTTCAATCGGCGCTTTTTGGTCCGGATCCGATATCTGCATGCCCACTCTAATTTTTGTGTCGGCACTATTATAGATCGATTTTGGATTGTTACTTCTGGAATGTGTATGATATACGGGAAAGGTAATTTATCCAAACGTAGATTTAGTTTTCAAAACAAAAACATTAATGCTTGGTCAAATCTGTGTATAAGTGAAAACTGGGCAATGTTGAGCAGATAATCCACGATTCATTATGTGTTTATTGTCATCTATCATCAATTTAAAGTGTAAAACAAGACTGCTCGTATCAGGGCGAAGCCCTGAATATTCCGACTGACTTTTAAGAGTCCATGGAGCAGTAATAACAAAAAAATTAGTAATTAGTATATGTAACAAAATAAATTTTTTTTAAATTGGAGATTTTTTGTAAAATTCATCCCCCACACACCATATAAAGTACAAAAGGATAGATTTCGCTCATTGCAACAAATAAATTATGGCAAACAAGCTTCTTTCAACCAATTTGGAACAATTTCTAAAACAGATTAAATCTCCGCTTACGCGTCAATAGCGCGAAATATATCGCGCGTTAATTGTCACAAAATGGCAAAATTGGCAACCTTTAAGCCCCCATAACTTTGATCACATTGAAAAATAATCACAGGTGAAATATCTTTTTTCAAATTTAAGCTCAGAACAACAATACCTTTCGAATGATGTAAAAACTTTTCCGTCAAAATGGCTAGTTAAAAAGTCGAATTTTGTCTGAAGAAAAAAAAACCACCCCGAGCACAAAGATTCCGTTACTCTAATTGAGACGCGAATATCAAACCTAGTGGTGAATCGGTATAACAGTCGTTCACTCATGTCACATATGATGTTCAGAGGAATAGGCCCTATAACTATTGCCTCAATCTCGCGGTCGGAGCCAACTCACGATTCGCTTATGATATGGAACTGAAGGTTCGTTACATTAGAAGGCTACTACCAAAATAACCACCCACTCTAGATTGAAACTAGTACGTTCCCATGGCTAGGTTTCTAAATACCTAAAACACGCAAACGCCGTTAAAAACAGGGTCGGAGCGTCAATTAAACCAATTCAGGGATCCAATTCAGGGATCCAATGGACATTTGATCCAATTCAGATGGATCAACCTAAAACTCGCCTCACCTCAGCATAACTGTATAAAGTGCACTCTAGTAATTAAATTCAAGTGCTCAGATCAAGACAACCACTCTGGAACTAATAACAGACACTATCAAATTATGTAACTATAACTCTAGAATTTTGAATAAAACAATAATTTCCGCTCAAGAAATTTTCAATAAATTTTGGAGCAATGGGTCACTTGAGTGGGCGACCTTCCAAATCAATTTTTCTCTTGCTCCGAGTGTGGAACTCTTGATGCTGTCGATCAGGAACAAGACAGGTCTACTCATGTTGATTGTTATTTGACAAATTGCGAATAGTAATGATTTCTCTTTAGTTATCATGAGAAACTTGAGCATGGCGCGGCCAACTCGAAATTTTGAAAAATACCATTCGAACCAAAAGTGACTAGAATTTCTTTCACATGAACGACTGGCCGACCGGCAGCAGTATAAGGTTAACATATTTAACAATTTAACCAATGCCAAATTACCTTTATACCAAATTAGGACTAAGTGAACAATTTTCCCCTAAATCAAATTAGGGAGGAGATCGCTCACTTGGTTAAAAGCAATACTTTTCAGCCAATCAGATTCGAGTATAGTACATACAGTCCTTACTGCTTGCAAATGCCATTTAAATTTAGGGGGATGTTGTTGGTGGCAACCCTCATGCTTGAGGGATCGAATGCTTGAAATTAATTTTAGCTTACTTTCAGCCAATCAGAATTGAGTATTAAAAATCTCAAAGTAAATCGCAAAAATCTTGAAGAAAGAAAAAAAATCCAGGCCATTAGTGTTATATTGACCGATTAGATAATAAGCAGATAAGTTTTCAAGGCTGAAAAACTCCTATGAACTTGAATGCATATATCTTGACGTTTATCTGAATAGTACTGCGGTTGTAACCCGCAATTTGTAACATTTTTGAAAGTTTTCCACTGATTTAATACATTTTCTGTTAATATTGACTTCGATTTAGTGAGAACGGCATTTAGCCAATAGGAACGCTTAGCGATTTTGATTGGTCGAAATTTTTCAAGCAACCGGTCCCTAAGCATGAGAACCTTCCCCGATGTTGTTCATTTAGGGGGTAGTGTTTTTTACATGGGCCCCAAATTTACCCCACAACTAAGCTTTACCCTTCTGAGTGTTAGTTTGCATATAAATTCTACCATGTAGTCTCATAATTTGTCGGGTTAAGAATCTGATCCTTTTGTGTTCCAGCTGGGACACGGCTGAGAGTCCCCACGATGTGGTTGCAGTTGTCAGAGTAGCCAGACCAATTCAAGGTATACCATGCACACAACGCAGTCTTTCCATACCCCCCACCCTCCCCTCAGCAAATCATAGTCCTCCATAATACGAAAATCCGACCGAAATGAGGCTGTAATTTTTTATTTATTTCTAGGCTAGAGGGAGCATAATGGGAAATAGTTACAAACTCCCCTGAAACCAAACGGCAAATTTTTACTCCCAATTCAATTTTTCGAACTTCTATCCCAACTTACAACAAAATTTTGCGCTGAGTAAAATTTCGCTTTCTGTGTCAATACAATTTCATAGTTATTGACTTGAATTCCAAATGTTTCTCAACACAGATTGCCATACCGCGATGACTCCGAATTGTCTATTCACGCGAGCGCTCATTGGCTCTCTCATTTTTGAACAAAGCTTTACAAATCAAAGTGCTTTAAGCTACCATATTTGGTAATCTGGCCAAATATGGTCATAATATAGTTCTTTTGTCTGACTGTTGAAAAATTATTTGATTCGTCGTCAAAATGCAATAAAACAACCTCAAGATATTCGATGAACTCTCACATACGTTTTATGTTTCAAACTGTACATCGATAAAACCTTCAAAAATGTAAAAACAAAGCTTGTAAAGCGTCTAAAATTAACATGATTAACATTACAAAGTCATGCAATTTTTGATGGTCACACTAATGGGGCATAAGGCTTCATACTTACCTGGCGCCGACCGTCCTCTGATCAAGCAGAGAGGTGGTCCAGGGCGAGGCCTCTGCATTGCACTGCGCGGAGGTTGACCCCTGCGATTTCTCCAAGTGAGAAACTCGGACGCACAATTTATTAGTGTGGGGACTGCGTACGCGCTCTCCCTGATAATCATGAAACTTGTAAACTTAATTTTGAAAGCAAAGAAAGAGCGCTAATTTCGCATCCACTGAAAATACAACATTGATAGTTTTGGAAGACATTTTTTTTTTCATTGTGATGACATTCTTCAGATATATCGAGATATCTGAAGATCTGCCAGAAACCTGGATCCCAAGGAGACACCATTGGCACCTGTGGATTGGGCCAAACATCCAGATCCGAAGCCAAGCACTCGAGGACTCTGATGAAAGCCTACTTTTCTGTCAGCTACCTACCAGATGGTTTTGTTCCGGTCGTGGATCAGCTGAGTTTCTGTCGGGAAAAAGACATTTGTACTCGTGAAATTACACCAGGTAAAGTTTGGCGATGAACTGAATTCTTTGTTGATTCTCTTGTCCATATTTTTAAGTATTAATGCATACAATTGAGAGAGTCTAAAACCAGAAATACCAAACTGACACAATGCTATCCGTGGGATTACAGATTGCGATGTTGCTGAAAATAACAGAGTTGATTCAGCCCACCCTAACAAAATAGTTGATTGGTTTCAGAATGGGCGGGCTTGTAGTAAGCACTACAATGTATAAAACTGAGTTAAAAAAGATATTGTTAAGACCATTTAACCATGAGGGGGAAAGGACCAACATATGAGCTGTACAGCTCATTCCAGCGAACCGCTGTTGTGTCCCTGCTTAAGAACTACGTGCAATTTTTTTTGTTTTTTTTTCGCAGCCTTGAACTTAAGCCAGCTATGATTTCTTATTTCACAGTGAGAATTTGACTCAATTCTGAGAAAATTGTGTTATTTTTGATACAAAAATATCGCTAAGAAACTAAATCTAGCTTGCTTGCTAAGAAACGAAATCTAGCTCGCAAAGCTGACTATTTCAGCGACTTAAGCTATTAAACAGTTCAATTAAACAATTAAATTTACAGTATTAACCCCCCGTAGACCTCGAAGGAAGTCAGAAAATATAAGAGTTTGCCCTATAACGAGCAGTCTTGCCTTTTTTGTGTCCAAATATTTTTTATGCTGGAAGTAAAAAAAATACTATAAAATTGCCATTTTGACGGAACTTTTTTTTGTAAAATTCGAAAGGTATTGCTGTCATGAGCTTCAATTTGAAAGAATATTTCACCTGTGATCATTTTTCGTAAAGTTATAAGGGTTCAAAGATTGCCATTTTGGCCACTTTGGGTCAATTAACGCGCAATATATTTCGCGCAAATTAACGCGTAAGCAGAGATTTAATCAGTCTTAGAAATCGTTTCAAATTGGTTGAAAGAAGTTTATTTGCCATAACTGATTTCTTACAAGGAGCAAAATCTATCCTTTTGTACTTTATATGGCGTGTGGGGGATGATTTTCATAAAAAAAGTGTTCATTTTTTTTTATTGTTAAACTTTCGATACGAAAGTAACGGAATATTTGTGCTCGGGGTGGGTTTTTTTTTTCTTTGTCAGCCGTTTTTGACAGAATTTTTTACATCATTCGAAAGCTATTGTTGTCTTGAGCTTAAATTTGAAAAGAGATTGCACCTGTGATCATTTTTTGTAAAGTTATGAGGGTTTAAAGATTGCCATTTTGGCCAATTTGGGTCAATTAACCCGTGATATATCAGTTTGGGTTAGCCGAGTATAACAGCTCAATTCACACTTCGAGCCTTATCTTTAATGGATTTCCGACTTTCAATCGGCGCTTTTTGGTCCGGATCCGATATCTGCATGCCCACTCTAATTTTTGTGTCGGCACTATTATAGATCGATTTTGGATTGTTACTTCTGGAATGTGTATGATATACGGGAAAGGTAATTTATCCAAACGTAGATTTAGTTTTCAAAACAAAAACATTAATGCTTGGTCAAATCTGTGTATAAGTCAAAACTGGGCAATGTTGAGCAGATAATCCACGATTCATTATGTGTTTATTGTCATCTATCATCAATTTAAAGTGTAAAACAAGACTGCTCGTATCAGGGCGAAGCCCTGAATATTCCGACTGACTTTTAAGAGTCCATGGAGCAGTAATAACAAAAAAATTAGTAATTAGTATATGTAACAAAATAAATTTTTTTTAAATTGGAGATTTTTTGTAAAATTCATCCCCCACACACCATATAAAGTACAAAAGGATAGATTTCGCTCATTGCAACAAATAAATTATGGCAAACAAGCTTCTTTCAACCAATTTGGAACAATTTCTAAAACAGATTAAATCTCCGCTTACGCGTCAATAGCGCGAAATATATCGCGCGTTAATTGTCACAAAATGGCAAAATTGGCAACCTTTAAGCCCCCATAACTTTGATCACATTGAAAAATAATCACAGGTGAAATATCTTTTTTCAAATTTAAGCTCAGAACAACAATAACTTTCGAATGATGTAAAAACTTTTCCGTCAAAATGGCTAGTTAAAAAGTCGAATTTTGTCTGAAGAAAAAAAAACCACCCCGAGCACAAAGATTCCGTTACTCTAATTGAGACGCGAATATCAAACCTAGTGGTGAATCGGTATAACAGTCGTTCACTCATGTCACATATGATGTTCAGAGGAATAGGCCCTATAACTATTGCCTCAATCTCGCGGTCGGAGCCAACTCACGATTCGCTTATGATATGGAACTGAAGGTTCGTTACATTAGAAGGCTACTACCAAAATAACCACCCACTCTAGATTGAAACTAGTACGTTCCCATGGCTAGGTCTCTAAATACCTAAAACACGCAAACGCCGTTAAAAACAGGGTCGGAGCGTCAATTAAACCAATTCAGGGATCCAATTCAGGGATCCAATGGACATTTGATCCAATTCAGATGGATCAACCTAAAACTCGCCTCACCTCAGCATAACTGTATAAAGTGCACTCTAGTAATTAAATTCAAGTGCTCAGATCAAGACAACCACTCTGGAACTAATAACAGACACTATCAAATTATGTAACTATAACTCTAGAATTTTGAATAAAACAATAATTTCCGCTCAAGAAATTTTCAATAAATTTTGGAGCAATGGGTCACTTGAGTGGGCGACCTTCCAAATCAATTTTTCTCTTGCTCCGAGTGTGGAACTCTTGATGCTGTCGATCAGGAACAAGACAGGTCTACTCATGTTGATTGTTATTTGACAAATTGCGAATAGTAATGATTTCTCTTTAGTTATCATGAGAAACTTGAGCATGGCGCGGCCAACTCGAAATTTTGAAAAATACCATTCGAACCAAAAGTGACTAGAATTTCTTTCACATGAACGACTGGCCGACCGGCAGCAGTATAAGGTTAACATATTTAACAATTTAACCAATGCCAAATTACCTTTATACCAAATTAGGACTAAGTGAACAATTTTCCCCTAAATCAAATTAGGGAGGAGATCGCTCACTTGGTTAAAAGCAATACTTTTCAGCCAATCAGATTCGAGTATAGTACATACAGTCCTTACTGCTTGCAAATGCCATTTAAATTTAGGGGGATGTTGTTGGTGGCAACCCTCATGCTTGAGGGATCGAATGCTTGAAATTAATTTTAGCTTACTTTCAGCCAATCAGAATTGAGTATTAAAAATCTCAAAGTAAATCGCAAAAATCTTGAAGAAAGAAAAAAAATCCAGGCCATTAGTGTTATATTGACCGATTAGATAATAAGCAGATAAGTTTTCAAGGCTGAAAAACTCCTATGAACTTGAATGCATATATCTTGACGTTTATCTGAATAGTACTGCGGTTGTAACCCGCAATTTGTAACATTTTTGAAAATTTTCCACTGATTTAATACATTTTCTGTTAATATTGACTTCGATTTAGTGAGAACGGCATTTAGCCAATAGGAACGCTTAGCGATTTTGATTGGTCGAAATTTTTCAAGCAACCGGTCCCTAAGCATGAGAACCTTCCCCGATGTTGTTCATTTAGGGGGTAGTGTTTTTTACATGGGCCCCAAATTTACCCCACAACTAAGCTTTACCCTTCTGAGTGTTAGTTTGCATATAAATTCTACCATGTAGTCTCATAATTTGTCGGGTTAAGAATCTGATCCTTTTGTGTTCCAGCTGGGACACGGCTGAGAGTCCCCACGATGTGGTTGCAGTTGTCAGAGTAGCCAGACCAATTCAAGGTATACCATGCACACAACGCAGTCTTTCCATACCCCCCACCCTCCCCTCAGCAAATCATAGTCCTCCATAATACGAAAATCCGACCGAAATGAGGCTGTAATTTTTTATTTATTTCTAGGCTAGAGGGAGCATAATGGGAAATAGTTACAAACTCCCCTGAAACCAAACGGCAAATTTTTACTCCCAATTCAATTTTTCGAACTTCTATCCCAACTTACAACAAAATTTTGCGCTGAGTAAAATTTCGCTTTCTGTGTCAATACAATTTCATAGTTATTGACTTGAATTCCAAATGTTTCTCAACACAGATTGCCATACCGCGATGACTCCGAATTGTCTATTCACGCGAGCGCTCATTGGCTCTCTCATTTTTGAACAAAGCTTTACAAATCAAAGTGCTTTAAGCTACCATATTTGGTAATCTGGCCAAATATGGTCATAATATAGTTCTTTTGTCTGACTGTTGAAAAATTATTTGATTCGTCGTCAAAATGCAATAAAACAACCTCAAGATATTCGATGAACTCTCACATACGTTTTATGTTTCAAACTGTACATCGATAAAACCTTCAAAAATGTAAAAACAAAGCTTGTAAAGCGTCTAAAATTAACATGATTAACATTACAAAGTCATGCAATTTTTGATGGTCACACTAATGGGGCATAAGGCTTCATACTTACCTGGCGCCGACCGTCCTCTGATCAAGCAGAGAGGTGGTCCAGGGCGAGGCCTCTGCATTGCACTGCGCGGAGGTTGACCCCTGCGATTTCTCCAAGTGAGAAACTCCTACGCACAATTTATTAGTGTGGGGACTGCGTACGCGCTCTCCCTGATAATCATGAAACTTGTAAACTTAATTTTGAAAGCAAAGAAACAGCGCTAATTTCGCATCCACTGAAAATACAACATTGATAGTTTTGGAAGACATTTTTTTTTCATTGTGATGACATTCTTCAGATATATCGAGATATCTGAAGATCTGCCAGAGACCTGGATCCCAAGGAGACACAATTGGCACCTGTGGACTGGGCCAAACATCCAGATCCGAAGCCAAGTACTCGAGGACTCTGATGGAAGCCTACTTTTCTGTTAGCTACCTACCAGATGGTTTTGTTCCGGTCGTGGATCAGCTGAGTTTCTGTCGGGAAAAAGACATTTGTACTCGTGAAATTACACCAGGTAAAGTTTGGCGATGAACTGAATTCTTTGTTGATTCTCTTGTCCATATTTTTAAGTATTAATGCATACAATTGAGAGAGTCTTAAACCAGAAATACCAAACTGACACAATGCTATCCGTGGGATTACAGATTGCGATGTTGCTGAAAATAACAGAGTTGATTCAGCCCACCCTAACAAAATAGTTGATTGGTTTCAGAATGGGCGGGCTTGTAGTAAGCACTACAATGTATAAAACTGAGTTAAAAAAGATATTGTTAAGACCATTTAACCATGAGGGGGAAAGGACCAACATATGAGCTGTACAGCTCATTCCAGCGAACCGCTGTTGTGTCCCTGCTTAAGAACTACGTGCATTTTTTTTTGTTTTTTTTTCGCAGCCTTGAACTTAAGCCAGCTATGATTTCTTATTTCACAGTGAGAATTTGACTCAATTCTGAGAACATTGTGTTATTTTTGATACAAAAATATCGCTAAGAAACTAAATCTAGCTCGCAAAGCTGACTATTTCAGCGACTTAAGCTATTAAACAGTTCAATTAAACAATTAAATTTACAGTATTAACCCCCCGTAGACCTCGAAGGAAGTCAGAAAATATAAGAGTTTGCCCTATAACGAGCAGTCTTGCCTTTTTTGTGTCCAAATATTTTTTATGCCTCCCACACGCCATATTAACTACAAAAGAATAGATTTAGCTACTTGTAACAAATCAATTACGGCAAATAAGCTTCTTTCAACCAATTTGGAACGATTTTAAGACGGATTAACTCTCCGCTTACTCGTTAAAAGCGCGAATTATATCGCGCGTTAATTGTCCCAAATTGGCCAAAATGGCAATCTTTAAACCCCCATAACTTTACGAAAAATGATCACAGGTAAAATATCTTTTCAAATTTAAGCTCAGGACAGCAAAACCTTTCGAATGATATAAAAACTTTTCCGTCAAAATGGCTAGTTAAAAATTCGAATTTTGTCTGAAGAAAAAAACCCACCCCGAGCACAAAGATTCCGTTACTTTCGTTACGGAAGTCGGAATAATAAAATCAAGTTTTTGCCATTTTTCTACTCTGGAATTTGTTGAAACGCTTTTTTTAAACTGGAACGCATGAAATGAACGTGATTTCATATGTCAGCTTCTTGATTGAGGTTGGGGACTACGCAAGACCTATCAGACGAATCGAGCCTATCTTATCAACTGAAGTGTTCAACACTGAACCGTAAGGGTTACAGGATTCGGATCTACTAAGCAACTCCCCCTATCAAGAAAGGGGGATTGTTAAGTAGATTAAGTTAATCGAACTTTAGACCAATCAGAATGCAGCAAAGTTCGAACTCGATACCAGTTTTATTGCTAGTTTACTGTATTTATGTATGGGAGTGGAGAATTTTTACTAGATACCATAGGGGAGAGGTTGTTAAGTAGATCCTAGCTTTCATATTGCACTTTTTGACCGTCCGCTGAAAACTTTCAATCGACTTCATAGCGATCTTCAAAGCGCCCTTTTGATCAACTTCAACCATACCACCAATACCGTCATCGGGCAACCGATGAGGTTAAAGTTTATTCAATTATCATGTGTTTTTGGTAATTGGGTAATTAGCAATCTTGAATTGAAGTTGAAAATGTAACTCCATACAAACAATATACACTTTGTACATGTAATGAACCTTCTGGTCCAATTAAGGACAAAACTGACTGCTGGAGAGACGCGAATATCAAACCTAGTGGTGAATCGGTATAACAGTCGTTCACTCATGTCACATATGATGTTCAGAGGAATAGGCCCTATAACTATTGCCTCAATCTCGCGGTCGAAGCCAACTCACGATTCGCTTATGATATGGAACTGAAGGTTCGTTACATTAAAAGGCTACTACCAAAATAACCACCCACTCTAGATTGAAACTAGTACGTTCCCATGGCTAGGTCTCTAAATACCTAAAACACGCAAACACCGTTAAAAACAGGGTCGGAGCCTCAATTAAACCAATTCAGGGATCCAATGGACATTTGATCCAATTCAGATGGATCAACCTAAAACTCGCCCCACCTCAGCATAACTGTATAAAGTGCACTTAACTGTATAAAGTGTAATTAAATTCAAGTGCTCAGATCAAGACAACCACTCTGGAACTAATAACAGACACTATCAAATCATGTAACTATAACTCTAGAAGTTTGAATAAAACAATAATTTCCGCTCAAGAATTTTTCAATAATTTTTGGAGCAATTGGTCACTTGAGTGGGCACCTTCCAAATCAATTTTTCTCTTGCTCCAAGTGTGGAACTCTTGATGCTGTCGATCAGGAACAAGACAGGTCTACTCATGTTGATTGTTATTTGACAAATTGCGAATAGTAATGATTTCTCTTTAGTTATCATGAGAAACTTGAGCATGGCGCGGCCAACTCGAAATTTTGAAAAATACCATTCGAACCAAAAGTGACTAGAATTTCTTTCACATGACCGACTGGCCGACCGGCAGCAGTATAAGGTTAACATATTTAACAATTTAACCAATGCCAAATTACCTTTATACCAAATTAGGACTAAGTGAACAATTTTCCCCTAAATCAAATTAGGGAGGAGATCGCTCACTTGGTTAAAAGCAATACTTTTCAGCCAATCAGATTCGAGTATAGTACATACAGTCCTTACTGCTTGCAAATGCCATTTAAATTTAGGGGGATGTTGTTGGTGGCAACCCTCATGCTTGAGGGATCGAATGCTTGAAATTAATTTTAGCTTACTTTCAGCCAATCAGAATTGAGTATTAAAAATCGCAAAAATCTTGAAGAAAGAAAAAAAATCCAGGCCATTAGTGTTAATATTGACCGATTAGATAATAAGCAGATAAGTTTTCAAGGCTGAAAAACTCCTATGAACTTGAATGCATATATCTTGACGTTTATCTGAATAGTACTGCGGTTGTAACCCGCAATTTGTAACATTTTTGAATATTTTCCACTGATTTAATACATTTTCTGTTAATATTGACTTCGATTTAGTGAGAACGGCATTTAGCCAATAGGAACGCTTAGCGATTTTGATTGGTCGAAATTTTTCAAGCAACCGGTCCCCAAGCATGAGAACCTTCCCCGATGTTGTTCACTTAGGGGGGTAGTGTTTTTTACATGGGCCCCAAATTTACCCCACAACTAAGCTTTACCCTTCTGAGTGTTAGTTTGCATATAAATTCTACCATGTAGTCTCATAATTTGTCGGGTTAAGAATCTGATCCTTTTGTGTTCCAGCTGGGACACTGCTGAGAGTCCCCACGATGTGGTTGCAGTTGTCAGAGTAGCCAGACCAATTCAAGGTATACCATGCACACAACGCAGTCTTTCCATACCCCCCCCCCCCACCCTCCCCCCAGCAAATCATAGTCCTCCATATTACGAAAATCCTACCAAAATGAGGCTGTAATTTTTTATTTATTTCTAGGCTAGAGGGAGCATAATGGGAAATAGTTACAAACTCCCCTGAAACCAAACGGCAAATGTTTACTCCCAATTCAATTTTTCGAACTTCTATCCCAACTTGCAACAAAATTTTGCGCTGAGTAAAATTTCGCTTTCTGTGTCAAAACAGTTTCATAGTTATTGACTTGAATTCCAAATGTTTCTCAACACAGATTGCCATACCGCGATGACTCACCGAATTGTCTATTCACGCGAGCGCTCATTGGCTCTCTCATTTTTGAACAAAGCTTTACAAATCAAATTGCTTTAAGCTACCATATTTGGTAATCTGGCCAAATATGGTCATAATATAGTTCTTTTGTCTGACTGTTGAAAAATACCTCAAGATATTCGATGAACTCTCACATACGTTTTATGTTTCAAACTGTACATCGATAAAACCTTCAAAAATGTAAAAACAAAGCTTGTAAAGCGTCTAAATCTAACATGATTGACATTACAAAGTCATGCAATTTTTGATGGTCACACTAATGGGGCATAAGGCTTCATACTTACCTGGCGCCGACCGTCCTCTGATCAAGCAGAGAGATGGTCCAGGTTGAGGCCTCTGCATTGCACTGCGCGGAGGTTGACCCCTGCGATTTCTCCAAGTGAGAAACTCGGACGCACAATTTATTAGTGTGGGGACTGCGTACGCGCTCTCCCTGATAATCATGAAACTTGTAAACTTAATTTTGAAAGCAAAGAAACAGCGCTAATTTCGCATCCACTGAAAATACAACATTGATAGTTTTGGAAGACATTTTTTTTTCATTAAGATGACATTCTTCAGATATATCGAGATATCTGAAGATCTGCCAGAGACCTGGATCCCAAGGAGACACCATTGGCACCTGTGGATTGGGCCAAACATCCAGATCCGAAGCCAAGCACTCGAGGACTCTGATGGAAGCCTACTTTTCTGTCAGCTACCTACCAGATGGTTTTGTTCCGGTCGTGGATCAGCTGAGTTTCTGTCGGGAAAAAGACATTTGTACTCGTGAAATTACACCAGGTAAATTTTGGCGATTAACTGAATTCATTGTTGATTCTCTTGTCCATATTTTTAAGTATTAATGCATACAATTGAGAGAGTCTAAAACCAGAAATACCAAACTGACACAATGCTATCCGTGGGATTACAGATTGCGATGTTGCTGAAAATAACAGAGTTGATTCAGCCCACCCTAACAAAATAGTTGATTGGTTTCAGAATGGGCGGGCTTGTAGTAAGCACTACAATGTATAAAACTGAGTTAAAAAAGATATTGTTAAGACCATTTAACCATGAGGGGGAAAGGACCAACATATGAGCTGTACAGCTCATTCCAGCGAACCGCTGTTGTGTCCCTGCTTAAGAACTATGTGCAATTTTTTTTTGTTTTTTTTTCGCAGCCTTGAACTTAAGCCAGCTATGATTTCTTATTTCACAGTGAGAATTTGACTCAATTCTGAGAACATTGTGTTATTTTTGATACAAAAATATCGCTAAGAAACTAAATCTAGCTTGCTTGCTAAGAAACTAAATCTAGCTCGCAAAGCTGACTATTTCAGCGACTTAAACTATTAAACAGTTCAATTAAACAATTAAATTTACAGTATTAACCCCCCGTAGACCTCGAAGAAAATATAAGAGTTTGCCCTATAACGAGCAGTCTTGCCTTTTTTGTGTCCAAATATTTTTTTATGCTGGAAGTTAAAAAAAAATACTATAAAATTGCCATTTTGACGGAACTTTTTTTGTAAAATTCGAAAGGTATTGCTGTCATGAGCTTCAATTTGAAAAAATATTTCACCTGTGATCATTTTTCGTAAAGTTATAAGGGTTTAAGGATTGCCATTTTGGCCACTTTGGGTCATTTAACGCGCAATATATTTCGCGCAAATTAACGCGTAAGCAGAGATTTAATCAGTCTTAGAAATCGTTTCAAATTGGTTGAAAGAAGTTTACTTGCCAAAAATGATTTGTTACAAGGAGCAAAATCTATCCTTTTGTACTTTATATGGCGTGTGGGGGATGATTTTCATAAAAAAAATGTTCATTTTTTTATTGTTAAACTTTCGATACGAAAGTAACGGAATATTTGTGCTCGGGGTGGGTTTTTTTTCTTCAGACAAATTTCGACTTTTTAACTAGCCGTTTTTGACAGAACTTTTTACATCATTCGAAAGCTATTGTTGTCTTGCGCTTAAATTTGAAAAGAGATTGCACCTGTGATCATTTTTCGTAAAGTTATGAGGGTTTAAAGATTGCCATTTTGGCCAATTTGGGTCAATTAACGCGTGATTTATTTCGCGCTATTAACGCGTGAGCGGAGAATTAATCCGTCTTGGAAATCGTTCCCAATTGGTTGAGAGAAGATTATATGCCATAATTGATTATTTACAAGGAGCGAAATTTATCCGTTTGTACTTTATATGGAGTGTGGGGGGATGATTTTCATAAAAAATTTCAAATTTTAGAAATTTGTTTTCTTCAATTTGTTTTATTTAAATCAATTTTTTAACATTATTACTGCTCAATAAACATTAAAAGGCAGTCGGAACATTCAGGGCCTCGCCCTGATACGAGCAGTCTTGTTACTTTTAAATTCGTTATGTTATTACTGCTCCATAAACCTTAAAAGGCAGTCGGAACATTCATGGTTTCGCCCTGATACGAGCAGTCTTGTTCCAAATTGGTTGAAGAAACCTCAATTGCTATAACTGATGTGTTACTAAGAGCGAAATTCATCACTTTGTACTTTTTATGGCTTGTGGGCGATGATTTTCACAAAAATCTCAAAATTTTTTATTACATTTTTTTTACTTTTTCATGCTATTACTTCTCCATAACCCTTAAAAGTCAGTCTGAACATTCAGGGTTCGCCCTGATACGAGCAGTCTCGTGTTAATTGACCGGCAGAAGCAGTTGTCCAAAAATCGGAAAACAACCTTATTTTCTACACTCTTTTTCTAGCGCCTAAACGATTCGTTTTGTCAAAAGTTGAACTTCGGTAGAACATAATGAAAACGGAGATTTGTTCGATGATATTGATGGTGCTACGAATCGCTGGTAAAATTTTTATTCAAACTAAAATTAGCAACATTGTTTTAAATTAAGTTTCTCAAATTGTTAGTTCGTTTTATGAAGAGGAGACAATCAATGCGAGCTTCAAACGTTTTTGTTAAGATTAGATTTGTCTTCAAATTAATTATTGGAACCTGATCTAAACTACATTTTATTATTGGATAAATTAGATATTTTACCACTGTAAAATATTTAATATTAACCAATCATAATCCATCCCACTAACAACCCACGTATTTGTAAGTGCTGAAATTGCTTGTAATTTCAGCACCAGAGAGATTCGAAATTAACTTAGAAATTAGTTGCATCTCCAAGAGCACTTCAGCAGTTGCAATAAGCCAGTATACTCTAGATCTATTGAGCCTAGCAGAGACTAGTTTAACACCCTGAAACTAGTAGATATAAGAGTAAGATTAGGATCGGTATTAGACTAAGAAGTTGCACGAATCTATCCGGCCGAAAATAAGATAGCGTGACGTGCAGACGGTGTACCCTATCCGAAATTACTCTATGAGTTAACCACATCGATCCTAACTCATCTGGTGCGACCATAAGTCTCAAATAAGACCTTAATAGCTTAGAATTAACCAAATATAGATTAGAAATTAGACAAAACATTTTCAAAATGTTACACGTTAATAACTTAATTGAAATGTCTCTACGACTCAATAGATCAGAGCCGATATTTCGCACAATACTAAAACTACCCGGTATTGGAAGAAGACCTCGGACAAGAGACGATATACGACTACGTAGAAACTTACCAATTAGTTTTATGGTTGTACGGCAAAAGCCAACACAAACTTTTGTATTTAGAATCTTATTAGCAATGAATTTAGATTTTCATTTGCAAACATTTGAAATAAATCTTCATGATTATTTCAGGCGCTAAACAAAATTATTAATGTACAATAACGATTGATAAAATGATCTCAGATCGTTCCCTTAATCTCTGCAGTATTATTCAAATAATAATTGAAAAATATTTATTGAAAATAAAAATAAAAATTAGTAGCATGACAATTAATAGTTAGTAATAATAAACCATCTTGTTGTTCCAGCTTCATCACCTAAACATAACCGCAATCATAAGCTCACTAACATCATTTAAAAACTAAATCTTTTTTTAAAATAAATTTAAACCATTTTAAATATAAATTCACTTAATTTTAAAAAATCAGATCATCAAGGCTTATCCTTGGATCTTTATAAATTTTCTATCTCACTAAATCTAAAATCTGATCATCAAGGCCAATCCTTGGATCAAAAAAAAAACAATTTTGTTCTCCATCACCCACTTAGCAAGTGTCTAACGACCTCAAACGTCGATTCACTATCCAACCTTTTCAAAAGACCCAGGTCTAATAGAAATATTTAAATAAAACTAACCATTCAAATTAATTTAAACAGTGAAGAACTTCGGTTATTCATCCTTCACTTGAACCCTCCTCTTACCAGACCCAGGATAGATCTTAGACTTGTAAGTTTAAAATAGTATCTAACGAACTACTTGCGTTCTAATTATACCTGAACCTTGTGGATCGATTTACTATTCTCCAACCCTTGAACACAATCACTACCCCTAAGTAAGATTAAGTACGTTAACACCTTAACTTAGACTAGCCACGAGAAAGTAAAAAATCATGCTCCGGAATCGATATACTTTTCTCTCCAACCCTGAATAAAAAGACCCAGGTTAAGCTAACAAAAAAATCGTAAGTCTAGGAAAATAAAAATAACTAACAACTTCTTGCATCCCTCATCCTAAACCTTATGTCATTCAAAAATTTAGGAAATAAATAAACAATCGTTTTACACAATTGTGAAATAGATAACCAAAAATACGATCTTGTAATCACTCCACATACACAAACAGTTGGATACATTCGAACAAAACGACAAACAATAAAAAGAAAAAATGTAAACAAACAAAGACAAATCACACGAAAAAGATTTTCAAAAAATAGAAACGCATTTTCTGAATCAGAAGCCAACAGTTTAGACGAAGTATACAAATTAAAAAAATCAAAAAATAATAGTTGCCCCATTCATGATCAATTATATTTTTCCGACTCAGAAACAACTTTAAATTCATCAAAAAGAGGAAAAAGAAGAATAAAAAAGCAATATAAGCACAAACCAGTACACCTGTATAATTGGAATCAACCAATTAGACACATTGATAGTTATATATTAACAGTCATCAAACGAAAAATTGAGCCACACTCAAAGTGACGAAAGTCCAGATGAAGAAGCAGTTTTTCCCTTTCTTATAGATTCACTCGTGAGGACAAACACGACTTTGTAAGAACTTACTCGTAAATTTGTTTGAACCAGGAATCAGTCCAAGCAAAACAAAATTCCGGGATGTAAAAATCAAAAGACAAATTATTGAACATTATTTGAAAGACAAATGTAATCTAACACAACAATACGGAATCTACACCATAGAATTCAGCACACCAAATTTAGCCCATTGTAAATATGTAATTCAAACAGACGATATTGAAATAACATTTTCAAAAGTATTCATAGAATATATCAAAAGCATACAATATCATAATTCACAAAGAGCAAAGTCCATATTCACTAACGAAGTTTTTGCAATAATATGTAGTTATATATCTATATTAGAAAAAAACAGAAGTTCAAAGTATATCACCAACCGAAACATCCAAACATACAAAAGTACGAAATGAAATCACAGTATTTTCAACATTTCTACATATAATCCGCGAAACTTTTACTTAAGAAGATGTTTCACAAAACACTAAACATGATTTACAAAAGATTTTAGCATGGTTTATGAAAGATTATTTCACCCACAATTTAAATTTAATTTCACAAGCAAGAAAAAATTTCAGACCTCAAAATACCCATGACGACACTGTCCTTTCAGAACAATCAGATTACGTTTGGGACCCTGAATGGTCCCATCCAGCATT